TACGCGCCACGGTCTTCTCACCGGCGGATCCAGCCATTTTCAAAGGGAGGTGGCCATAGCCGGCCACTTTTTGGACACTGTGTAATGGTTTCCGGGATGTACTGATTATCCCCTCCCTAAAAAAAAAACTCCCTCGGCGTAAGTCAAATTCATGACGGGGCGACTGTCCGATCGCAACAACTAACATAGGGACGCCATTTAATTGCGTCCCAGAAAAGCTATTTCTGGCACCTAAAAGCTGACTCGCCCCAAAATTGGTCCTCAGCACCTATTTGGTGGATACCAGCACCAATCATGGAAAATGACCTTAATTAGCTGTTTCTGGCACCTATTCATCGGTACGCCTTACTCTTTTTTCTGAATCTGGCACCTAAATGCTGAGCGTAGCACCAATCTAGTAGAAAAATGAACTACTGGCTGGTAGAATCATGTTGTTCTGGTATAATGACCCCTGGAGTCTAGCCTAAAGGCTGCCAGTGCAGCTACACTCTAAGACAGCCCCGTAGTGATCTCAGCATTGTATATGACGTTTAAGTAAGCAAATAATATTGATTTGTTTGAAAAAACAATGTCATTTAAATATTTAAAAGCATTTATTTGTAATGCTTAAAGGGAAACATTTTTGTGAGTAATTGTCTCGATTTTGACCATTAAAACGGGTATTGTATTTTTTGACGTCATCAAATAGCTCCAAAAAAGAAATGTAATGTTTTCATTCCGTTCAAGGCCGCTGAAGAAACGCGGTATCTTGCGTGGGACATTGTCCGTTGTTTGCCGCGCAGAGTTGTGCCGTGGTTGTGCCTTTTTCATCCGTTTCTTACTTATGTCATATGTGTGCATGAAGCTTTGATTTTGTTTTTGGTTATTGTGTGGCCGGTCAGTCAAACGCCCCTGTAGAAACCGGATGCTGCGTTTGATCGAGATGGAGTCAGACGATGATTGCAGAAAGCTAATAATATTGATGAAAAGAGGGCCGGTTGCGGGGCATGTCTGTTCAGAGTTTACATTTTGCTTTACTCCAGCTTATGACCTGAGAGCCTGGCTGGAAGTGACGGATCCAAACTTTTCACGTTAAAATGGCTGAGGGTGCAATAATCTCTAGTCTCTACATAGCGGGCTGGTATAGGAGCGTCTTGCTATGCTGCACCATAGCTGGCTAGTGATTCTCTTTTGGCTAGAAATGGCATTAATCATTATCTCCACTGGCGAAAATGGCACTTGACATCACCGAATGCAACGTTCATGTTTGTTAGGATACATAAAATCAGGAAGATTACGCGAATTAGGTAGGCAAACGTGGAATAAAATAGGTGCTGGATGTTTTGGTTTTGGTGCTGAATCAGCAAACAGCAAATACGGAGTTCAACTAGACGATCTGGCAACTTTAGGCTGTGTGGAAGCAATTACTATGCATTTCAGACCCCATGAGACCCTAATTTTTGGCGATAATTTGTTCAATATTTGTCCAATTTGCTTCAAATTTTCACAATGCACATTTCAGCTCAAGCGCCAATTTTCGCCAATATGGTCTCTTAACAAAATATCAAATTTTAGGGTACTTGTCGTTGCCTCGTAATGTTAAAATCGGCTCCGTAAATCCGTCAGTGGAGTAGAGGCTATCCGTGCGTAGGTGTGACGTCACAAACACGTGACCATTAAGCTCCGCCCTCCCGGCGGACGGGGTAGTGACCTTGGCCGGTCAGTCGACTGCGTGGAGCGGGCGGGGCAGTAGCTGTCGCACCGGGGCGGCTCGCATGGACCGTAGCTGCCGTGCAGTTGTCGTTGCAGCCGTAATTTCATCGAAAGAGCTAAATAGCGCGCATAAGTAACGCACCAGCTGAAGCCCTCGACTAATTGTATCTATCACAAATGTACGTACACCTTGTTCAGTCACAAAAAATAAATATTTCCACACAAGATTCGGGGCTTGTGAAAAACGCGCATAAAAGACGCTGTTGATTTCAAATGATTGCGTAAGATTATGTATCGCGTCAGACTACGTCAAAATTGCAAAACAGAATCACCATTAACATGCTGCAATCTATGTGTTTGATATATGAAATTTGATTAGGAATGTATGCCGGCGTGATCGATTTATATCATCACGGAGCAACTAAGCATTGAACACCTTCAGGACTAATCCATTTGATCATCGACTTAGGTTGAGGAGGTCGCCAGACTAACTTTGCCCCCAGAGCTTGTGTGTTGAAATGCAAACATGAAAAGTAAAAGCCTAGAGATAGTTTCCTCACCATTGAGGACATACCCATGGGTGGAGAATGTTTGAAAAAGTTACCCCGGCCGGCGACCAATAGTCGGAAAGACGATATGCTCACATTGTTGTCAACAGTCATCATAAGCAAACCCCTTACGCAGCCTTCTTCAATGTTGGGCAGCTCAACCTCCTATAAAACAAACAGGGAGTCGATCCAGGAATATCGACTGGTCCCGGTCTCGCAGCTCAGTCGGTAGAGCGTTGGACTCCGCGTGGCAAGAGTATGCGTCCCGGTTACAACAGTCCGATTTCGAAGCAATCGCAACGGACGCTCGGTGTTTATGAGCATCTTGACGAGTACGCTATTATAAACACTAAACAGGTATGGTTGCGGTCTTTGGCACTGGCAGGCCAGTCGAAGGCAGCGAGGTCAAGCATTGTTTCAGAAAAAGTGCGCCGAAAACGCGCCAAATTTTCGAAACTGAACCCGATTTGAGAGCAGTCTTGGCATTGGCGACCACACGCGGGTCCTGGGGTTGGAGATTATGGTATGTTAAGCAAATAGTTAGTTACCTGATTTGCAATATTACGCCCATGGCAGTGAACATTTGAAGAACGAGTTTTCTTTTCTCGTTTCGAGACAGCTTCTAGGATTTACAAGAGTGGAAAAGTTACCCCGGCCGCGCCGGGGTAGGCTGAAAGTTACCCCGGCCACGGCCGGGGTGGCCGGGGCAGGTTCTCCACCCATGGACATACCTACTGTTACTTAAGTTTTACAAAAAAGATGCGAGTTTATTGATGATCGTTCTCGTGTAGTGCCCAACGTCCGCCTGCCACATTGCTATTTCTTTTTGTGCACTTCTTAACAATATATCACACACATGACACCGCGATAAAGGCCATTTCTACCATACGACACATTACGCTTCTGCCCCACCCGGCGCCCCGCACCGCTTCACGAATCACGAATACGGTCGTTTCGCTGGAGCGATGCCCCAGGCAATCGGCCGTGCCCGAGACTCTTCATCCTACTTTGTTGTTTTCTGCGCCTTCCTAAGAAACATTTATTGGCACTGCCAAATATATCAATATTTTTGGGTTAAGCACAGGCTTACACATGATCTTATAGGTAATCGGGTAGTGACGTGACCCAACCTGACGATGAGATAGGTGCAACTCCGGCTTAAATAAATGTTCAGAGTCCAAGAGTCTATCCATCTTTCCTTCCACGGCCGGTTCCGTTCCAATAGATCCTACCTTGATTCTGATCATTCTGAATATTCTGAGCTGGCTCGACGCTTAAATACCAAAATAAGGTGAAGAGGATACCAAATGCCCTCAAACGGATAATTTTTGGGGCTTTCGTCCCGAAACAACTTTGCCAGCTTCACTTGTCTCCAGTATGTGGTCCCGCTCCGACCTCTCCGCGGTGCTGACACCGACTGAAGCGGCATAGACCCATCCCGGTCACGGCCAGTGGGCGGAGTTTAGTTGGGCCCGGCGCAACGTGATTGGCCAGCGCTCCTATCCAATCCGGTGCGGTAGCGAGCGAGCCTCTATCCGGGTGCAAAAACTGATTAACATTACGAGCCAACGACAAGTGCTCTAAATTTTGATATTTTGTTAAGAGACCATATTGACAAAAATTGGCGCTTGAGCTGAAATATCGTTTGCCAAAATTTCAAGCTAATTGGACAAAAATTGAAGAAATTATCGCCGAAAAGTAGGGTCTCATGGGGTCTGAAATGCATAGTAGGTGCCAGATTCAGATATTAGGGTCGAATAAGCATTTTGGGGCTGATCAGCAATTAGGTGCCAGAAACAGCTTTTTAGGGACCAGAAACAAATATTCCCCCTAACATAGTATCCGTGATCAGCACCCCGAAAAGCCCCTTAGCAGCCACACTTAACGACGTTCGAACAGGTCCCGATTTTCCCGACTTTTGGGTCATTGACGCGACCTGGAAGGTCAACCAATGACCTATGACCTTAAAATTGGGTATCATTGGCTTCCTCTCGTGACGGGCAACACGCTCGTTTTTTTCCGCGAAGCTCTAGCTCGATCAGGGGTCAAACGGTAAGGGAGGTCCAACGGATCACGCGTCACCCCCCCCCCCCTTATACGTTAGCAGCTGGCAAAACACCAGTATGGGCGAGGGTTGGTTAGGCAATAACCTCGACCTCAACTTCAAATAACCTTGACAACCACTAATAATCCATGGGACAAACTGAAAACAGCATTTCACATGTTTAAACGTTTCCAACAACAAAAAGTCTGAACCGCGCGCATACTGTGCGCCGACATTGACATAGGCACGCCGAATAGCAATTCTGATTTGACATGACCTTGAAAAATCAAGTCATAGGTAAAAGGTCACTTATCAGTGTCATGAATTTTCAGGGTAGGTGCAAAATCGATGACCTCGAGGGTAATGAAGGTTCCGTCGCGACCCACCCCTTTTTACCAGTTATTAGCGAAATACCGAGAATCGGTGTTTAATTAAAGGAGTCATTACGCTGGTAGATGAGCGTCGAAAGCAACGTTTCGTTGCTATAGTTTCGTTTCGCCCCTGCCCTTCCTGGCTAAAAAAAATCTCAACACTTTCCTGAATTCTAGCGATAGCCCAGCATGTTCAAGGTTTGTTGCTATTTTCTAAAAGAAAAGAAAAAAACTGACCAAGAACAGTTTCTCGTCTCATCGAACACGTGATAATGTCATGCAAAAATCCCCAATGGATAAAGGGAAAAGTAACGCGGCACAATTAACCGATGGTCCATCAACACATTTTTCTGAAAGGCATGTATTCCATAAATCTAACAAAACTAGTTGAACAAATCACCACCGCAATACGTCATCGTCGGTAGGCGGCGGCCACATTTCACCCCCGGGCGTCACCGCATGGTAAACTGCCGGCACGGGGGCAGAACCGCACAGCGACGGGGTGATATGAGCCAGAGCCTGGTTAGAAAAATAATCGACCCTGCATTACAAACATCGGGAACATGATCACGACAAATCACATTGTTTTCACATCACATCTAGCTGACCTATGGCTTCATCCTCTGAATTCCTGCCGACAGGCAAAGCCAACACATCGGCTCCTGAGCTCCTGTAGATACTGTGATAATCAAATCACATCCAATGAAAATAAAGAACATTCAGGAGCCGCACCTCAACCACCGCCTGTGCCTCAGCTTTTCTTTTTGCCTCGCCAGAAGCGAGGCCGTGCGGCTCGGCCGCGGCCGGCGGTAGTTGCCGTCGCCGGCCGCTTGGCGGCGCTCATGTCGCCCGGTGCCGGAGCCGACAGCTTACCGTGCAGAGCCTGGTGGAGCTGGGAGGCGTCCGTGGGCGATCCGAGCACCTCTGCCAGCGCCTCCTGAAGAACGACACACACCACAATCAGTATTGGAGGGGTGATACCATAATAAGCAGCCCGGCAGAATGCTAGCGGTATAAACATTGCTAGCTACACAGCATAAACACGCGAACTATGCGTGTGTAGAAAGCAACACAAAAAAAGGTCTGTATGGCAGCATGATTTAAACATGCAAGTGCATTACACCTTTAAAAGAATCGTCGGAAATATAAAATTTGGATCAAAAAGGCATGGAACCTAACCTAACCCAAAACGAGCGGACTTTTTGTGCCAGTTAATTTCTACCAGGTCCACAGCTCAACTCAGTGCGCGCCAGCCTACCTCGGACATTTCCAGCAGGTCCAGCAGCGAGTCGATCTTGTTCAGCAGGGCGTACAGCGTCTTCTGTCGCACCCCGGGCAGCTTGCTGACAAAGTCGCGTACCTGACGGAATAGAACGACTTGTTAGTCCATGGGAAACACAAGTGAAAACATCAAAAAAGCAAACAAAGTCGGATCTTAGGGCTCGTAAAGTTCACTGCCTTCACTGCAAGGAGAGCATTTCTTCAAAAAAAAAAAAAAAAAATGCATTTCAAATCTACTCGAATTTCACATCTTCCAAGCACAGAGTACCATAACACCTGTGGACTATCCCTATCTCTACAGCATCGGAACTGCGGGTCGACCGGCAAGTCCTATGCCTATATCTCACCTGTGGATTAACCCTGTCATCTGTCCATATCTCACCCAATTGGATTAACCCAGTCATCTGTCCATATCTCACCCAATTGGATTAACCCTGTCATCTGTCCATAGTTCACCGTGGATTGACCCTGTCCTCTGTCTAATCTATCTCTCTCACCTGTGGATTAACCCTGCCATCTGTCTTCTACCTCTCACCTGTGAATTAACCCTGTCCCCTGTCTATCTCTCACCTGTGCATTAACCCTGTCCTCTGTCTATATCTCACCAGTGGATTATCCCTGTCCTATACTATATCTCACCTGTGGATTAAATCAACCCTGTCCTCTGCCTGTAACTCACCTGTGGATTTATCCCTGTCCTATACTATATCTCACCTGTGGATTAAATCAACCCTGTCCTCTGCCTGTAACTCACCTGTGGATTATCCCTGTCCTATACTATATCTCACCTGTGGAGTAACCTTGTCCTCTGTCTATATCTCACCTGTGGATTAACCCTGTCCTCTGTCTATCTCACCTTTGGATTCACCCTGCCCTGTCTCTCTCACCTTTGGATTCACCCTGTCCTCTGTCTAATCTATCTCTCTCACCTGTGGATTAACCCTGTCCTCTGGCTTCTATCTCTCACCTGTGAATTAACCCTGTCCTCTATCTCTCACCTATGAATTAACCCTGTCCTCTGTCTCTCACCTATGAATTAACCCTGTCCTCTGTCTAATCCATCTCTCTCACCTGTGGATTAACCATGTCCTCTGTCCTCTACCTCTCACCTGTGAATTAACCCTGCCCTCTATCTCTCTCACCTGCGGATTAACCCTGTCCTCTACACCTCACCTGTGGATTAACCCTGTCCTCTGTCTCTCTCACCTGTGGATTAACCCTGTCCTCCGCCAGCGTGTCTGTCCGGTCAGCAGTGGCCGAGCGCGCCTCGGCCAGGCTGGGCTCTCCGGCGCCCTCCTTCAGCTGGTGCAGCAGCTCGGCTGATGCGTATGGAGACGGACACCACATCAGCCTCAGCCGCGGGAAGTGGAGCGTCAGCAGCTGCAGTCGGCTCACCACCTGTGCCGACGACATGTCGCTAGACAGGTAGTATTTGCCCTGAGGAGAGACGGGCGGTCAGCTACTCAGGGCCAACCAGATAGACAAACTGGCTGTGATAGATCAGAGACTGAGGGACGACCCCGCAGGGAGACAGCATATTGGCCGAGAAAATAATTGCTTTAATAAGAAAGCAGTATCAATTTTAGCAGAACAGTTAAGATAAAATAGTTCAAGTGATGAAGAATCAGTGCCCAGTTCATTACTCAATCCGTCCCCGCTAATACAACACCCCAGTTAAGATCATACCGGGCCCCAGTGAACTGACCTGCAGCGTGAACGGCTTGGACTGGTCGAACTCGATGAGCAGTAGCGGGCGCCGGTAGTGGCGGCTCATGGCCAGCGCCTGTCCATAGAGCCGGCCCGACATCAGCGAGCCGATCAGGTCGCTCACCGACTTCCTCTCCACGCACAGCTCGGGCGTGACGATGTAGTCACCCACCTCGATGGTGGCCGGCACGATCTCCAGGCCGCGCCGGTGCAGCAGCGACGGCAGCTCCGAGCGAAACTCGCGCATATCGACGATGACGCGCGGCGGCTCGGCCGGCGGCGGCGGCGCCACGCCGCCGCGCCGTGAGCTGGCCGCCGCCGGCTCCGGCTGCACCGCGCCGCGCTCCAGGTCGGTGTTCGTGTCGTCGCGTCCCTCGCGCTCCTCGGGAACCACCATGGAGGCCTTCTCCGAGATGAGGTACTCGAAGGCCTGTTTCTCGGTGCGCAGGGCGGTGAGGTAGGCCTGCTCCTCGCTGGTGCCAGAGAAGAGGAGGGTGTAGACGCGCAGCTGACGCTCTGGTGTGGCCGCCTGGTGCACCTGAGCGGCGGGCGACGGGCACAGACGGTCAAGGTGGGAGCGTGAGGCGGGTGGCTACTTGTAATTTGTGCGCACAAATGTCAGGCGGATCGATGCAGTCGCCGTGAAAAAAAATCGCAGGAACACGGTATCGGCAAAGTCGGCCATCTTTCTATGTTTTACTTCGAGGCCAAAAGGTTGACCAAAGGTAAGGTCAAAGCTGGTGACGTACTGCAGAACGGTCGTTCGATGAGTCATAAACTGCTTTTTCCACGTCCCTCTGGCACTTTCAGATAACGAATTTCGGCGTCCAACATTTGCCTTAGAAAGGAAATCGCAAATTTTGACCCATTGGCCATTAGGACCGGCAGTGGACTCTATTGACCCAAACAAAATATAGCCTTACTCCTCCGAAAATACTCAATAAGAGCTATTGACCGTTTCTCCGCGTCAGTTCCTACCTTCTAAGTTTTCCATACATCGGATGTAACCAAATTACACCCAATCATAGCGAAGCTGACTAAACCTTACCCCGGCGCGTGGTAATGGCCTTCCATGTATCCATCATCCCGCCAATCATCACACCCTCGTCGCCCTCACCTCGATGGTCCGTATGACGGCCACATCCAGATCGTACAGCACGACGTATCTGGGCCGGTACAGGTGCAGGCTGCGCTGCAGCTGGTACGGGTCGTTGGCGTCCTTTGTCGGCAGGAGCAGCAGCAGCGGCGAGTCGGGCAGCGAGACCTGCAGCTCGTCCTCGTCGGCAGTGCCGCCACCGGCAGACTGTGGGCGGGAGGGAGAAGGTGGGAGGTTGTGTGGTTAGTGTGGAGAGATATATCCCAACAATCATACCCCTGCTGTGGTGCCGTGAGCCCGTAAAAGGGATAGGTATGGGCTGCGGGGGAATCAACCGGAATCAGGGACAGCGACGAAGTGGTTAAGGTGGTGAAAATGAATCTAGTGTCCAAGGTAAAGTAGAAAGAGGAAGAGTAGCATGAGTAGCGGAGATTGATGCTCATTCCCGCTCAGTGCGATTGGTCTAATTATGGAGACTTCAAGGACATGTAGTCATACATATGTGTTCATCAGCCAGAACAAAACACAGACAATAAAAGACGCCAAAAACAAGGTGGAATCAAAGGTTGGATAGGAAGTTTACAGCAATGCGATCCCACCTTTACAGAGAATAGGCTGATAGAGCTCACCGTTTTCGGGTCGGCGTTGCCCATCTGTGTCAGTGTCTGCTGGCCTCCGTCCTTGTTCGGCGCCTTCTCCTGGGCGGTAGTCGGTGTCGTGGTGACCGCGGTGCTCGGAATGAAGGCGTCATCATCGTAGCGCGAGGCCAGAGTGAGCTGGAACCGCCTCCAGAGCGCCGCCTCCGAGCCCAGCGTCAGGAACTGGCGGCACAAAGAACAGGATACAGTGAACATACAGTGACGCCATACTGCGCCACCCCCGAGCCCAGCGTCAGGAACTGGCGGCACAGAGAACAGGATACAGCGAACATACAGTGACGCCATACTGAGCCGCCCCCGAGTCCAGCATCAGGAACTGGCGGCACAGAGAACAGGATACATAGGTACATCGGACATACAGTGATGCCATACTGCGCCGCCTCCGAGCCCAAAGTCAGGAACTGGCGGCACAGAGAACAGGCTACAGCGAACATACAGTGACGCCATACTGCGCCGCCTCCGAGCCCAGCGCCAGAAACTGGCGGCAGGACGGACATACATACGTGATGAACAGCTGCACCGAGATAGACGACAGCTAAGTACAGGCATTTAGATGAAAGTGAAAGAAGCACAAACAAGCTAGATAAAAATCCGATAGTCTCCGAATGTGGCCATTTTGGACTAAAATTAATGTCAATTACTGCGAACCTACCAATAAAATAGTTGCATGTTACTCGGTAGAGGACAGGCCCGTAACTATGTGGTTACTCCTCAAAGACCGATACCACCCTCTGAACACTCTGAACATGCGGGCTCGTGACTCACTCTACACACTAGGCTGGCAATTTCCCAGGCTGGCTGTCTCGTAACTCCCCCAAGAGACCCGGAACCCCCACTTAGACTGGTAACTCCCCCACGCAGACTAATAACTCTTCTACACAAATCGTGAGCTACACGGGTACACCATCCCCAGCGCAATACTCACCTCTCTGATGCGTCGACAGGCGGCCATATCGGAGGCCACGATCAGCACCTTATCCGGCCAGAGGGGCAGCGAGTCCTGGGACTCATCAGCGGCAGCGGCGGACACCTCGGCGCGGATCTCAGAGAGGACCTCGGAGAGCGCCGGCCATCGCGGCGGCTCCTCGGGCGTCAGCACTGGGGGTCATATAGATCTCGTCGGCACTGGGGTCTGGGGACCACGCATACAGTCAGCACTGGGGATCACACACACATCGCCAGCACTGGGGTTCACATAAATCTCCAGGGACCTCAGAGAGCGATTTAGATAGTGATCAAAGAGCAGCGAATTACAGAAACGCATTACATTACAAAAACACAGAGGCGCGTCAGCTACAAACAAAAAGCATTTAAGTAAGTTAGAACCTCAACTCTAAACACTCGCCACCGCGGGGTGGTTTGACCACTTCAGCCGCCTCACTGCACTCTCAGCCAGCACTCACCCTTCGGCTGCGGCCGCTTGCCCTCTGCGCGCACTGCCCTCTTGGCCTGCGGCTGGACATCCCCAAACACCCTCCTGCGCGCGTCCACGAACACCGTCTCGGCGGCGTCCAGGATGGCCCAGCCCGAGTTGAGCGCCCGCTCGGCGGTCTGCTGGGCAGCCACCAGCTGGTAGAAGCTGCAGCTGTCCAGCTGCGGCAGCGCCAGCAGCAGCGAGCGCAGCGTGCGCAGGTCCGAGGCCAGCTGCCGAGTGCGCGCGCTCAGCTGGTTCCAGACCGGGTCCAGACGGTGCCGGGTCACCTTGTGGAACGAGCGCGACAGCACGGTCTCGGCCGTCAGCGAGTCCCAGTCCAGCTGCGGGAGGAGGGCGCACGGGGCGGCAGGTCAACAGGCGGGCGGCAAAAACACGAGTTAGGAGCGAGACTTCTGGAACCCAGCATATGTGGCGTTGATAAATTTGCTAACCGTTAAATTCGCATCAGCACTAGATATTGCAAACTAAAAAAAAAAAAAAAAACACACACACACACACACGCAGCAGCTTCAATGCAATTTGGTATAAGACAAGCTCAGCAAACAAACAAACCCACCCAAAATGACGTCATCACCAGTCCCTAAGCGGCTCTATCTGCTACCAGCGCTGGCCGCGACCGTCCGTTTCCGACGCGCTAGCTGAGCAGCAGAATTTGGGACCGAGAGGACCGAGACACAGACTATCGGCGGCATTGAGATCTTATAAACACATTGGACCTCTCAGTTCGGCGCCACTCACGGAGGGGTTGAGCCGGCGGAACTCCTTGCAGCTGATGTTGATGAGGTCCAGCAGCGCCGTCTGGATGGACATCATCAGCGGCGTCATCTTCAGACGGATCTCCACCACCTCCGGCTGGCCAGACAAAGGGTGCACAACGATTAGCGCATAACGGGGCTCTACTCAAGTGGCGAGTCAAAGGATTGTTTGTTGGGGGGTTAGGGGCGCGCGGCCGACTGCCAGGTCATTTTGCGCCCAAGGCAAGTCAAAGGGTTCACGCCAGTTGCCACATTACGCGGGTGACGAACAGGTAGACATTGGTTAGTGCAGCAATTGAGTTGAACTTAAGCTGAGATTCCGAGTCTTTTTGGCAGACTGTCGCAGACTAGAAGATAATCTGGTGGTTGTACTGGTCCTGAGTAATGACATATACTTATTGGCATCAGCTGATATAGCATACAGCTGTTTTGCTTTCTTTCACCAGTGTTTAACTACTGCCATCATAAAATGAACAAACGCTTCATGTTGCTAATGAAGCAGAAAGTCGCGAAGGTCGCAGCAGATCGCGGCTTTCACTCACAGCGCATTCCTTGAGCGTCTGGTTGACCTGCATGTGGAAGCGGGGCCACAGGTACAGGTTGCGGACGAACAGGTTACGCATCACTCGCTGAACCTGACAGAAGCCAGACGTGAACGACAGCGGAGAGCTCGAGAACGCCTTGATGAATCCAGTCTGGAAAAGCGGAGGAGTTTCATTAATATTACAAATACTTCTGGAGGAAATGTTTAGTGTCATTTGTTATAAATAGAGCTTCCCATGTTTCCGCATCAAGTAAAAAGCTAAAGATTCGTCCATTTTCTTATAAACACCCTTACAGAGATTACAGATTATTGTAAAAGATGAAATATCAGCCCCAATGCACCTATCGAACTCGCAGTACAATGTACCAGATCTAACGCCTTTCCGGTGGCGCGTTTTGAGTCCGAACTTGACAACGTTGTTTGTTTCTCTATATGCCTGCAGAATCTCGCCTCATCTGTTTATTTACCCTAGACATCGGGAGCGTTAACTACAAGCGCATGTGAAAGCTGATGCAACTGTGACTAAAGTTGGGGTGGCTGGTAAGTTAGAATTGATACTGCGAGATAGACAGCAGGTGATTGGAGAAAAAGTAAGTGGGAAACCGCACATTTCTAGGAGGTAATGAGAAAAGTATGAATTAATCGAGCTTTCTTTACAGCACGACAAACAACCTCAAAGAAACACCGACAGAGATAACCGACCATAATAAATAGCTTTCAAACACTAATTCCATTCTCTGCGCCAGTTACTTAGCGCAGCGACCCACCTTGTTTTTCTGCCGGTACAGCCGGAGTATGAAGGCCTCCTGGGCCGACTCGACGACGGCGTGCGCGCGGTACACGACCAGTCCTGTGACGAGGTCGGCCGGACACCGCTCTGTCAGCAGGTCCACCACCAGGATCCTGGACGTGACGAACAGCACGCCGCCCTGCAGGTACACCTGGCGGCTGACAGTGGACGGGACGGTCAGAGGGAGCGAACACCTGGCGGCTGACAGTGGACGGTCAGAGGGAGCGAACACCTGACAGTGGACGAGACGGTCAGAGGGAGCCAACACCTGGCGGTTGACAGTGGACGGGACTGTCAGAGGGGGCGAACACCTGGCAGCTGACAGTGGACGGGACAGAGGGAGCGAACACCTGGCGGCTGACAGTGGGCGGGAGCGAACACCTGGCGGCTGGCAGTGGACGGGACGGTCAGAGGGAGCGAACACCTGGCGGCTGACAGTGGACGGTCAGAGGGAGCGAACACCTGGCGGCTGACAGTGGACGGGACGGTCAGAGGGAGCGAACACCTGGCGGCTGACAGTGGACGGGACGGTCAGAGGGAGCAAACACCTGGCGGCTGGCAGTGGACAGGATGGTCAGAGGGGGCGAACACCTGGCGGCTGACAGTGGACGGGACGGTCAGAGGGAGCGAACACCTGGCGGCTGACAGTGGACGGGACGGTCAGAGGGAGCGAACACCTGGCGGCTGACAGTGGACGGTCAGAGGGAGCGAACACCTGACAGTGGACGAGACGGTCAGAGGGAGCCAACACCTGGCGGTTGACAGTGGACGGGACTGTCAGAGGGGGCGAACACCTGGCAGCTGACAGTGGACGGGACAGAGGGAGCGAACACCTGGCGGCTGACAGTGGGCGGGAGCGAACACCTGGCGGCTGGCAGTGGACGGGACGGTCAGAGGGAGCGAACACCTGGCGGCTGACAGTGGACGGTCAGAGGGAGCGAACACCTGGCGGCTGACAGTGGACGGGACGGTCAGAGGGAGCGAACACCTGGCGGCTGACAGTGGACGGTCAGAGGGAGCGAACACCTGGCGGCTGACAGTGGACGCCCGGGACGGGAGAGAACACCTGGCGGCTGGCAGTGGACGGGAGCGAACACCTGGCGGCTGGCAGTGGACGGGACGGTCAGAGGGGGCCAACACCTGGCGGCTGGCAGTGGACGGGACGGTCAGAGGGAGCGAACACCTGGCGGCTGACAGTGGACGGTCAGAGGGAGCGAACACCTGGCGGCTGACAGTGGACGGGACGGTCAGAGGGAGCGAACACCTGGCGGCTGGCAGTGGACGGTCAGAGGGAGCGAACACCTGGCGGCTGACAGTGGACGGGACGGTCAGAGGGAGCGAACACCTGGCGGCTGACAGTGGACGGTCAGAGGGGCGAACACCTGGCGGCTGACAGTGGACGGGACGGTCAGACTTCAGAGGGAGCGAACACCTGGCGGCTGACAGTGGACGGTCAGAGGGAGCGAACACCAGGCTGGCGGCTGGCAGTGGACGGGACGGTCAGAGGGAGCGAACACCTGGCGGCTGACAGTGGACGGGACGGTCAGAGGGAGCGAACACCTGGCGGCTGGCAGTGGACGGGACGGTCAGAGGGAGCGATCAGCGAACACCTGGCGGCTGATAGTGGACGGGACGGTCAGAAGGAGCGAACACCTGGCGGCTGACAGTGGAAGACAGAACAGCCAGCACACGCCGCTGGAATATATGTACATACGTACATACTGCGAGGTGGCATTCAACTAACTGAATGTGCAGTGTGCAACTGCATGGATGGCCATTTGGCGCCTATCATGTGAGACAGTTTATTATATAGTGTAAAACACAAATTGTCACTGCCACAAACCCAAATGACCTGACATGAGCCACCTCTCGGCAGACATTTCCAGCCCGCTCCCTCCCACCCCGATGCGAGTCGTGCTCACCGCTCGGAGACGGAGGTGTCGGCGGTGACGGTGCGCGGCAGGGGGCTCACTCCGTCGGCCGCCAGCCGCTCCACGATGTACTCCTCCTCGGGTCGACCGGTGCCCATCACCAGCACCAGCTGGCCGGGGTCGCAGTGCACGCGCACCAGCGCCGTCACCAGCCGCTCCAGGCCCAGGCCGCGCGCCGACACCAGCAGGCCGTCCTCTGCCAGCAGCTCGAGCAGCATCTGAGTCTCGTACGACAGCAGCGCGCCGCTGGTCACCGTGGCCTGGACGCGCTCTGAGATTGCCGCCGCCACCGCACCCGCCGCCGCCTCCTCTGCCGTCTCACCACCCTTGGCCGCCCCCTCGGTACCCTCCTCTGCCTCCGCCGCACCTGCGGCGGTCTCGGCCGTCCCAGCCGCTCCATTCGTCTCAGTCTGCCCGGTCCCAGGGGCAGAGACGGGACCAGAGGCCGGCTGTTCAGAGTCCGCCGCGGAGGGCGGATCACCGACTTGGTCCGACATTCTGACGCGGCTGGTATTAGCGGGTGATCGCTCTCCGGATCTTCAATTGTGTCAGGTAATGGATTAGACCGTGTGTTAGTGCTGATAAATGACAAAGGCGCCCACTAATATTATAAACCCCCTAAATCTTGATTATACGATGCTATACGCTCCCAGGCAAGGGCCACACTCATACGCCGTTACAAAAGTAACACCTCCAAAAATACTTCGAAGAAAGTCCACAGCAAATCGACCCAGCGGGAATCCTCGTGAACCTGCAACAAAACAAAACAAAATCAGTTTTACAGAACAGATTTAAGCAGGCAAATAACTTCAGCTAGCAACAAGCAAGCATAACAAGAAGGTAAATAATTACTTGTTAGATTACAGAAAAAAATCCTGAAACTGATTAAAACAATGCCTAGAACTGAGAACAGAACGTTTCCGAACAGCGCCATAGTGCAGCCCACACGGCCCCAGCCACATCCGATACGGCTGGGTACCGTATGCGGTCACCGGAGACCGCTCCTGTGCGCGCACCTCTGCCGAGCCGCGCTGAGCGCCGGCGCGTTTCCGCAGCGTGCCGAGCAGCTCGTCCTCCGTATCGTTTTCCGGGTGCAGGGTGAACTGGTCCAGGTAGTCGGGGTCGCGGTACACTAGGTGCAGTTCGTAGCTGGAGGACGGCTGGCGAGGGTGGCCGTACACGGCGACACCGAGCGGCCGCGGACACCTGGCCGGCACGGGTCACAGGTCAGCAGTCAGGTCAGCAGCGGTCACAGGACAGTCCGTGGTTCGGCGACAGGGGTGCACACTGCAAAACACCGACAATACGACCAGTGACCGCTAATATTGTCAATAACCTTTAGTAACGACAGAACAGATTGCAAATGATAAGAAGACTCAAAAGATAAATAGGTACCTAATCTACGAAAAACGAAGTAAAAAGTGAAATCAATGGCATCCTTACGCCCTGGGAATGTCCACCCAGTCCCGTCCACAAGTGGTCGAGCTAAAGTCAAACTCCTCGGGGTCGAAGGTGGGTTTCAGTAGCGTCTTGGACACGTACAGGTCAGCGTCGCCGCTCCTGATGAGGGGAAGAGACGGTAGGGTTAGCCAAAGCCGAAGACGCAACAGGGAAGCAGCTATCGTACCGCCAGGGACCGCGGCTAACAGTAACCCTGGCGCGAAATGATAGCAGCCCAAGCAGTAAAAACCTCGTTGGCAGAGCATTTCAATTTCCGCGGGGCATTTCAATTGTTCGTGCAATATAAAAAATATATCGAAACCAAACAGAAGCATCTCTCAAGAGGCAGCATCGCTCACACGAACGCAGCTATCTCGTACATGCCATGTCGACTCGCGCTAGCCCGACGGCCACACAACTCACAGCGACTCAAGTACGATGGTGACTGGTCCGTCCCACTGGAGCTTGTAATAGGTATAGTTTCCGGCGTCCACCTCCCCGCGAATACTCTGGATAGCGTAGTCACCCCACACGGCACACACACACTGAAACAGACGTAACACACGATCATCGGGAGGCTACGGGAGTCTGCACTGACTGGGAACGATTGAATCAATTATTGCGGGTGTGCATAATGCATATGCCAATGAGAATGACATTAATAAAAGCCTCGATTTAATCATTGAATAATGATCTACCATTTCATGCATCAACGTCATTGTGATTTTTCATGCATTTACGAAATTTGTGACGTGATGTCGAACGAACAGAGGATGATAAAGTTATGTTAACTGCCTACTCAATGATTTCATGTCAACACCGCTACTCGCTAGCTCACCTGCAGCAAAAGAAGAGCGCATAGCATTGTTCTACTGTTTTTCCGGGAACTTCCACAGGCTCTTGTCCAGCAGGCGGCCAAAAATCTTATCGTAGGGGTGCACGAGGCGCGTCGGCTGTCCGTCGGCCCCCTCCAGCGGCTTGCCCTCGTTGGCCCACTTGAAGATGGATCCCTCGATGTTGACGGCCTCGTAGCCGGGCAGCGGCGGCTCGGCGGCGGCCGGCTGGGCGCGCAGGGCGTTCAGCCGCTGCGCCGTCACCGAGGAGCGGTACCCTACGGAGCAGTAACAGGCGATGGTAGTGCGCTCGGCGCCGGCGGCCGGCGGCGGCAGGTGGCGCGTCAGCGTGCGCCGCACCGTGGCGTCGTCACTGTCCGGGTCCAGGTGGACGGCGCCCGGCAGTCGGCTCACGCCGAACTCGGCCGCCGTGCGCGTGTCGAGCAGCAGGAGGTCGGCGCGCGGCCGCGGCACCAGCCAACCGTACACCGTGTCGGTCGACACGTGCTGCACGCCAGAGAACTTCTTGCGGATAGTGTACAGCAGAATGTTCATCGAGGCACTCATGACCGCGCCTAGGGGGGGGGGGGGGGGGGACAGGGGAACACGGCCGGCGTCAGCGCTCGGCGCCAGCGTTCTGCCGTCTTTTTCTTTCCACGACTTGGGCTGACAGAATTACAAGAAAGGGTTGTTCATCTAAAGAAGCTAGTAGTAACTGAATGAGGTAGTGCATTATGCATAGGCGGTCTCCATTAATAAAGTTAGATGAAAATGGTAGGTAAGATGTTGTCCATCTAGCTTTCCACTAAGGACTAAGGAGGCAGTGGAAGCTAGCATCTGAACAATTTTGAGTGCTTGACAAGGGTTCCAAATCCAGAAAAAAACACTTTAACAATATTGATGGCAAAATGTAATGCAGAAAAAAGGACAAAAACATCAGATTAATCAAAGCACATCCAAAGAAAAATGGCAGTTGGAAACAAGTGATGTTTTTTCATCCACACTATTAACAAGATCAGGAGTTTGCGTATCATTGATAAAATGTGATGTAAACCCATCCATAGGCTACTGAATAAAAGATTGCTCAACTTCTTCTTTGTGGTTTAGGGCGCGTAGCCATCAGGCAAGATTGCCAAACCAGCTTACCTAAAGTGTACTTGCCTAAGGAAAAGGCAAATAATCATTACTCATGCAACATGCAAGGTCATAAGTTCAATGATCATTGCTCATCCCAGATCAACTGATATTCCACTGATTAGTATTATCAATTTTCCGCAAAACCCGCAAACTTGCAGATCACAAAAGTTATTTCCTGGACGATCACGGATAGTGTAGCTCGACCTTATGGTAGGTACGGCTCTCGCAAGATTAAGCTGTAGGTTTTGCACTTTCACATTTCCGGATACCTATCTCAGAAACTAATCGAACCAATTCAAATTGTTTTTATTGGATTACAATTAGGATGCCCCTCAGTTCAGGTCAAGAGCTTCCTGACTCCCAATAGGTTGTAGCGCCTCAACCCTCAAGTGCTAAGTACCCAATTAAAATTTGATCACTTTTATAATATTGTAAAAAAATGAAGTTCGACCTATTATCATCCTATCCCACTTACCACAACCCTGTACAACCCCTGTAGCAGCCTCCCAGCTGGCGATCCCAATCTTATCCAAATATCCAAATCGATCCAAATCCAAAGATCCAAATCCTAACTTGCGTCCTATTTATTTTACCCCGCGTTCGGTGTCTCTCCGACGACAAAGAGTCTACGTCGTCCGGCCAATCAAGTTCCATAACCGCAGCCGAGGCCCTGCTGACCTTGAACGCGATTGGCCGGACGACGCAGAAACTTCGTCTTCCGAGAGACATCGAACAGGGGCTAGTGACACGAAAGAAACCAAATAACAAATTTATAATTGAGATAAACTGGCCCCCTATTTCAAAACGCTGTGCTACAGCGCCTGCGCGTTACATGTAGCGGAGTATTGGGTTTCCTGAGACATCCAATGCCGTATGGTATAGGCCGGATATCTTGGGAGATACCCTGGGCCGGAGCGGAAGCATTAACTTGGCGCGGCGTTTGACAGCGTTTGAGACGAATTCGGCTCGGCGGGCTCGGCGCTTGGCTTGGAAGTGTGCCACTTCCGCCAGCGACTTCCGGCCTGACTTCCGCCAGAATACCACGTGGTTGGTGGCCACGTGGGTCATGGGAGTTGGGTATGTTGACATTGAAGATGAGCGAGGGCCAAGGGGCAAGGAGAGAAGGAAAATGAAGCCCAGCGGCAGGCAGGTAGGTACCGTCGTTTTTTCAGACTTCATCTTAATTATTGAGCCTGTTCCATCGCGTCCAGTACTCACAGTAGGAATTCATGCCTGGAGGTTCTCATTGTTATAGTTCGTTATTTTAAGTTTGCCCCTCAGTGTAAACGTCTTTTTGAACACAGCACGAGAATTGCTTGCTGAATTACTGAGAAAACTGGTTGGCGCACATTGATTTGACCAGATTTCACAGACGATCAATTTCATCAGATTTATTTACTATTTCACAGACTCATAGCTCGTATTTGCCAATACCCACAGCCCCACAGGCAATGTAGGAAATAAGGCCCTTTGCTGGTCCCAGTCAGGTCCAAACGATTTTGTTCTCCTTTACAAGTTTATACTCAGGCACCTGAAATCTCTTAAATTTCCAGCCTGTGTGATGAATAACTGCTATTATTACGTCTAAAACATGCAGTTTAACATTGAGAGAACACATTTTATCAACTGTCACATTTAGTAGGCCAAACATATGACTTTCCTGTCGAATGTTCTAAAAGCTGGCCGGTTCTCCGCACAGCTTTCATTCTCCGGGACCAGGACCAAAATTCACAATTCCAACATTGCCCACAGGGCACAGGCATAGACAACTTCTCAGGAATTATGTCTGAACTAATTAATAAATTGCACGGCGTTTAACATAACGTTACATCGTTGGTGTTCAAAACTTATTTTGAAAATATTATTCATATCTCCAATACAATGTGCGCAAACCAGTTTTCTCAGTACCGTAAAACGGGGTGTTAAGGGACAGTGGGGTGCTAAGGGACAGTTGGGTGGGAAAAACTTTGAGTCATATTAAGTTCCTAATTTGAGAAGGTTAAATAAAAACTTGAGTGTGGTAGTTGACACTGTTTTGTTCTTGACTATAGTACAAAATGGCATGGTTTTTCATGCAAGTGATTTGGTTCAAAAATGGTTTTGAAAATCATGCTACATTTTCACGAAATTGAAACATCTCCAAAACTCTGTGTGTACCACTTAAACTAGTAGGTGTATGGGGAAAATGAATGCATAGGTGTATTGCCACATGTATTGCACATGTTCCCTGAAAAACTTACACAAATCCACCCATTCATTCATCATCCCCTTCCTCTTTTCCGGACACATGCATATTTTGAGGTTGATGTGGGGTGCTAAGGGACAGGGGAAAAAAATAAAAAATAATATCTAAATATAATTTCATAAAGTTTTCTTTCAGTAGGCATGAAAAACGCCTAATTTCACGTAAAATGATGGCAAGTTTATGCTTTTATATCAAACACTTCTTAAGTTATATAGCAAAACACCTCAAAACTCCATTAACACTCTCTTTTACAATGATGGGTCAATGAAGCCTGATGTAGGTAAATGTGATGTCATCATAAAAAGGCCAAAAAAGAGGGCAACATCATGACAAGTGTCTAGCTTCAAAATGGGTGTTTGTTGATGACAGAAGAGTACTTTTTGGTTCTCTCTACCTTATAATTAGCACATTTTCCAGAAGTGTAAACTGCATTACCTGCAATTGGCTAAAAAGACCATTAGTGATGAATGAGCCTGACTTGTTTTGTGACAGAATATGCAAAACATTCAATAAATAAATTGTGTGCCCTTTCACTTCCCAATTGTGGGCATTTGATGACCATTTCTTGGAGTAATATAGGTGTCCCTTAACCCATTGATACACACACACACACCCCACATTGGGGTGCTAAGGGACAGTGATGAAAAATAATAAGAAATAATATGCAGGTATATATTTTAAAACTTAAATGTAGCAGGCATGTAAAGCACCTAATTCCACATAAAATGCTGACAATTTGATGCTTCTATCTCCAACCCTCCTCAAGTTATGTAACAAAACACCTCAAAACTGTCCCTTAACACCCCGTTTTACGGTAATTCAGCTAGCAACTCTCGTGCTGTGTTCAAAGAGACGTTTATAGTGAGGGGCAAACTTAAAATAAACGAACTATAGTTTTTTTTGGTATTTGTTCAGAAAAGATCCGATTTACAACTACAAGTAACAATTGTGGCGTCGTTGAAATGAATATGCAACGCAAGGTTAGGTTAGTTTTGATTGTTTTTTCCTTGTATTTTTGCCACACGCCACATGATTGGATTAAGGATGGCAAGTAGTGTAAGAATGTGCAAAATTTTGCCTGAAAAGTGGGTATTAGTAGAGCAGACGGGGCATTCCACGTCAAATCGAACAAAAATCGGCTGTTTTGCACCTTACCATCAGCGATTTCATTATAAATTTGTGAGCGAGTTCCTGTGTCGCCCCGAACATTACATTGATGTTTTTTGCACATTCTGACCACAGGTCTTCTAAATATAGGGCATCGAATTTTTACAAAATGTTGCATCTTTATATTTTTGAACGACCATAACTTTGGTTGTACTTGTTTGATTTGAATGAAATAAACCTTACTGTTTAGGTAATTTCTTAAGCATTTGTTTAGAATTGCACCTACTTAAATATATGACCTTAAAATTTGCTTAACTCTGTTCTTAAGCACAAAAATTGAAATAGCAAAAAACACGTCACCTTCGATTTGGCTAATTTTCATATATTTTATTGCCTACCATATTCTTAATAACCTGTGAAAAAATTAGAGTGGGCCATTCATAAGTTTTGAAGAAAATGGCACATATGCAAACGTATGTTAGCACGCGCAGTGGAGGGGGAAGAGTGAATTTCGCCCCACCCCTCCTGTTTTTCGCCAATATCTCATAGTATTAATGCGAAATTAATTATAGCTACCTGTCCAAAATTGAATTGCACATCTCATCGTGCAAGCAAGGAAAATCGGTTCACAACTGGTCTAGTAATAGCGGTGTAAAGTGAACATCCTGTCGCCGCGGCGACGCGGCGACTCGGCAGCCGGCGCCGACCGCTGCGCGCCGCCTGAATTGTAGACTGTGCCGGGACGGAACGGAACTGTTCCGTCTTTACATCGCGCTCCTTACCGCTGATTACGTTTGATTCGCGTCAAATTTTGTGAGAAGACTAAGAAATGTACAGGCAATCTTATGGTGTAAGAATTTTGAAAATCGGTTGGTAAACAATTGAAATATGAACGTGTAAACACAAAATTGTGATTCCTGCGTTTCCCGTGTCGGCCGATCCCGCCTCAGCCGGCGACATGTTACTCTTAGCAGGTCTCTAACTGCCATATTTATTATTGGATTAACTAGAAATTCCCCATACATACTCAAAATGTATATTCTTTCGTATAGTGAAGATAAAAAGACGTGAAGATATCGTTGCGTGATGTTTTCGTTGAATTTTTGGCTTCATGATGCATTTCCACACGGCTCAAAATTCACCGCAAAATACCGTTTGCCTGAGACACTTTTACTATGGAACTTGAATGCTTGACTACGATGACTATGTATTTCCATTCTCGCAGAGTTTGGGATATCACTAATCAGCAATCATTCATTTCAGAAAGTGTACACAAGCAAGCATGTCTTGACTCTGTCTTTCAAGGTCACGCGCGGTTGCGTGATGTTGATGCATGAAAACGGCGTTTGCCGCGTGAGTTATGAATGGCCCACTCCAATTTTTTCACAGATGGTTTGGAACATTGTGACGGACATAATATGTAAAAATTACCCGAATCGAAGGTGACGTGTTTTTTGCTATTTAAATTTTTCTGTTTTAATTCAAGGTCAAATGCATTTCAAGGTCACTTCAATTTAATTTTATAATTAAAAATCAAAGCCTTATCAATTGCCTACAAGACCCTGTTAATATCATTTTGATACCAGGAAAGGAACCAGAGTTATAGACATTAAAAAAATTGATGTGTGGCATTTTTGGCTATATTCGATGACCTATATCTCAGCGATACTTTATCAAATTTCGAAAATATTATACTTAACTCAGTTTTGAACCATGCCCAGTCTGCCTACAAATTTTCAGAAAAATCGAAGGGGATGACGGATTTCGGTGTTTGATTTGACGTGGAATGCCCCAGACGTCACAAAGGTTTTCCAACCAAGGAGTGGAGAGGCGCCATACCCGGAGGTGCTTCTTTCTAGGAAAACCTAATCTGGCCTAACCTAACCTACAACCTAAAAACCTACAACCTACAAACCTACCCTACAACCTGTAGTGAATATGAATGAGAGAGACCCTTCTCACTTCTCAGGCTTTATTCAACACAAACTTGCTACCATACCTGCAACACAGGATGAAAACAAACCATCAGCAACGCAAACAGACATGGCCCAACACTAATGCCAAACACGACATATAACACTTCAAACAATCATAACATTCTCCCCACCCGCTGTTGTACAGGGAAGGAAGTCAACAAACAAACTAAATGCAAGTCTCATTGCAGTACGTTGACTTACAACAGCTACACAGAATAATCACGCAGATAGGTGGGAGTATTTATATACACTAGGT